AGAGAGAGAGAGAGAGAGAGAGAGAGAGACCTTTTCTTGGCTCAGAGCCTCTCTCTCTCTCTCCTGGTAGTCTCACTGTGCGAGCTCACCTACAAAGCGGCCGATGCCTTACTGGCAGTTTTAATTTTCATGTGCACCGAGGAAAGCAAGGTGGTGGGAAGGATGGCTTGAGCGTAAGGACAAAACTAGTCTGGGATTTGGCCCTGTTGCCATTCATTTCGTTCTGCCTCCATTCTCCCTCCCTCTTCTCCTTTCTTCCAGTCCCACCTTCTTTGTTCTGCTGCCAAAGCCATCACATTTAGACTTACGAGAGACAGAGAGAGAGAGAGAGAGAGAGAGAGAGGAGAGGAGAGTAGGAGCTTCTGCTTGCAGGACTGTTGCTCATATTGATCCAATGATGTTGGGGGAGGAGGAAGATGTCAGCTCAGAGTGCAGCAGTGGATGCCAATCTGGTTGGACCGCCTACCTAGATCAGTCCTCCTATGACTCCCCTCAGCCTCTTGTCTATAACAAAGCTGGTTACTTACAAGAGGAGGAAGAGGAAGAGGAGGAGGAGGACCTGTCTATGGTCTCCGATGCATCCTCTGGACCACCTCATTTTCATGAAGAGGATGAGCCTTCCTTCTGCTATCTTCACTCCAGCACTTGCTTCGAGGGCGGTGGCTGCCTCTGCTCCGCCCTAACTCCAGCTGCTGGATCGGCCAAAAGTGGTGCGAAGAGGAAGCGAGTTGAACCAGAGCAACAGAGAGAGCATTCCTCTCTGCTGGATGACACTGCGAGTTCCACTCTGCTCAGCTACCCCAAGGCACGCTCTATTCCTCATCCCTGCTCCCAATCTTACTTCCGGCCCACTTGTTCTCTTGCCTTATATCGCCTGTCGATCATTGCTGTTGCAGACCCGCTTCAATGGCGACAGCAACAGCAATAACTATCTGAAGCCACCCATGGAAGGTGTTCTGGAGTTCTCTTGTGGCTTTTCGGCTACCCATTTTAAGGTGCATTTCAGGTTCTCTTGATGATCCTTCTTTTGCAGCTTCTTTTCGATACTGCTCTCTGTTGACCAAGTGGTACGATCTCGAGCAGAGAAACCATGAACTACACAAACAAGTGGGCTACCTTCAATCCTCTTCTCCTGTGAAGCCAACCCCTACGAGACCAGTTAAGCGATCTCCATGAACTCGATCTGAAACACTTGACACGTCTTTCTTCTCGACTCATTCCCCTGTTTGTCTATTTGGTGTACATAGGTTTTAACGAAAGAAGGTGGGAAGAAGATTTGGTGATTGATCCCATGCCGCCCTGCTCTGAACAAGAAACAGAAGGATGAATCTATTAAAGATCTCAAAGAGATCTTGCTCCGTCTCTTGTTCTACTTCTCTCTTCTGTTATTTTCCTCGTGGCATGTCAATGCAGAGGGACGCAAGTGCCCTGAGAGCAATAGAGAAGAGGAAAAAATAAACAGTACTCTGTTTTCCCTTACTACTTGAACTTTTGTCATCAATGGAGGTGCCACCATGAGGCCCGTGGCTTTCTCTTACACTCATCTGTGCATGCCTACCCACGATGGTCTTGGAATGAGCCACCATGCTCTCTGTTTCCACCCTCATCTCCCACCTTCCCACAGGCATACTCAACTGATACATGCATTCAGATACATGAGGCCCCATGGAGATCCACATCAGTCCAGTCTGTCATCTTGAAATTACAATAATAGTAGTAGTAGTAGTAATAATAATAATAAAACTCAGTTCCCCAAGCCATGGTCGTGTGATGCTTAATACAGATGCAGTAGCGAGGAAGCCTTATCCAGTTGGCAAATTCTTCAGATAGGCCAAGACATGGATCAACAACTTGAAACCATAGGAAATGGTGGACAAGAGAGGAGCTACCAGAACATGTCGCTTGTCCGGAGAAGCTTCAGGCACGGTCACTTTCAGTACCAGCTTGCCCTAGAACACCCACATTGATGTGCAGTGCAGGATTCTTCATGGATGTCTGTGAGGTGATTTCAGTCACCTCTCTTGTAAACTAAGAACAAGCTGAAAGTGTTTCTACTCCTGGGACTGGCAGCGGTATTGGATGCCATGTTCGGCTGCAATGCATCGCAAGACTCGTGGGTTTCTTCCACTGTTCGAGCAGACCCCAGGAAGGATTCCTTGAATCGATGTCCATGGAGATGCAACAAAGGCCAGCGGTCGACATCTCATCTGATCTCCCCTCTCAGAGAGGGAAAGAGGACACTGGTCTTGTCACCACAGTGGACGTAGTACCAGCAGAAAGCGGTGTCTGCGTTTTTGAGGACAAGCTTCACAGCTGCTGCATCTTTTACCAGTCTAACCTAAGCATAGGCTTACTGGGTTCATACGAAGGAATACTTGAGAAGATCTTAAGCCCCTGAGATCCTACCTTCAGAGATCCTCCATGCCCAGAGCATGTAGGCGATTAAAATACTGCTAGGAACCCTCACCTCAATGAAACCCCCTCTCCATGTCTTCTTTTTGCTGATGTCTCGTGCCTCCAAGGCTGTCTCCTTCGGACCTGTCCTTTGGTCATGTGTCATGTTACCATAGAATTCATTTCTTTTCTCCCTCGGTCAATCTTTTGTGTGCCCACCAAACACATTAACATGGTAATCTAAAGAAAGCAGCACTTGGAGTTTGGAATGTTCATCCACCTCCCTCTCCCCTGTTGTTCTTCTCTGTTCTGTTCCAATTGTATATATATTCCCTCGCAAAATCTACGGGCGTAGAGAAAGAGAGATGCCGTGCAATCCTCATGGCAGCTTCTCCCCCGAGCAAAGCTAGAGATAGGCCCTCATGCTTGCCTTGGACGGAGGGTGGAGAGGAGGTGCCGCTCTGCCTGTGTGCCCAACCAGCACGCTGCTACGTGCGAGCACGTGCAGCGGCACACTTGCACACACACGCTCACATGCGCACGTTCGGTGCGCCTCCCGATGCTTGCTGTTGCTCATCGCCAACACGGGCTTCGATCATGTGCGCTACGTCTTAGGGCTCTTTGCTCCACACGCGCGCGCGCGCACACACAAGCACAACCCTCCAACCAATGCACAACCACAAGCAGAGTAACATGCGTCGTTGGTAACCCCCATTCATCCTTTTCTTATTGGGTTCTTGATGGATTGCAGCAAACGATGGTCGAGAACTTGGTGTTGATCCCTTCGAGTTCCTATACGGATCGCTGCTATTGCAGTGAAGGAACACCGAGTGTAAACACCTAGGGTCAATTACATCTTCTTTCCAAGCAAGCTCAGTGGCACAGGTCGCTGCTATTGTACCAAAGATAAGAGGTCTTCACAAGGATGCTGCCATTTACTCAGCTGAGAGATACCGGCCATTCAAATGAGCTTTCAAACTGAGCTGCAAAACATCTGCAGAACAATCTCAGCAGTCAAATCCAAGCTTTGAGGTCAGCACAGACTCATCGTTATCCTCCGCCTTTACTAGACTTCAATTGGCAATTCATTGAGCATGTACTGGCTCTGATGCCCATTAAATATTCACTTCAAGGAACATGTGGCACTAAAAGCTTGTGTCTTTCATCGCCACCACTTTGGCAAGAGTGCTACGGATTTCAGCAGGTAGCCAATCCTTTAGAACCTATCCCTCGTTGCACCTGACCGCATGAGACTTACAGTATCTTTATCAGAGCATGCTTGCATTAGATACAAAAGATAAATATTTATTTGAGAAAAATTATCATCGATATATTGATGAATTCGATCCAAATATGTAAACGTAAGATTATTCGAGGTATCTCTGATGTAGAAACGATGATATCTTAAGGTGCAATATGCATGAAAGCCAAGATCAGAAGAGATTTTTCGATCCGATCTCTCCTATACCCAAGTTAATAATCTGAGGTATACTAGTATGGTGCAAGTAGTCTCCAAAAGTTTTCATTTTCTACGTTAAAGACGAGTTTTTATACCTGATCACACGTGGTAAGAAGAAAACTTATGATTACCTTTATAGTCATAAATGATAATAAGTAAGCTTGCTTGTGATTGTCTTTCTGGTCATAAATGACATCGTCTTCTCCTCCCTGTTCGGGCACCATGTGACGATGACGTATTGAATGATTGATCGACAATGTATCCCCTATCATTTACCCCCCCCCGAAGGCATGCTTAGGGCTTTTTTGAGAGATGTTCAAAGTCTAATGTTTAATTTATCCGACATAAGAGCATTCGAGATTTTCTCTCGCCTGTAGGCGATTTTCCTAACTCATGTATCTCAAACACATTTAGCCTTATGCCTTCGTCATCGCAGATTTCTCTTCACGCTAGTCGAGTTTTCCCAACTCATGTGTCTCGGGTATATTTTACTTATGCCTTCGTTGTGGTGAATTTTTTTTCACTTGGATTAGATTTTCCCAACATATGCACCTTGGGCATATTCGACCTTATGCTTCTGCTTGGGCGGATTTCTCGTAAGTAAGTTTTCTTGAGTCACGTATCTTGAACACATTTTACCTTGTGCCTCTACCATAGTGGATTTCTTTTTATATGAGTCGAGATTTTCTAACTCATGTATATTGGGCACATTCGACTTTATGTCTCCATTATGATGAATTTCTCTTAATATGGGTTGAATTTTCCTAAATCATGCACCTTGGGCATATTTTACTAAATACTTCTACCATAGTGGATTTTTTTTTTCACGTGAGTTAAGTTTTTTCGACTAATGCACCTCGAGCACATTCAGTCTTGTGCCTCCACCATGGCAGATTTTTCCTTATGCAAGTTGAATTTTCGGACACACGTCTTAGGCATATTTTACTTTGTACCTTCGTCGTAATATATTTCTCTTCATACAGGTCAGGTTTTATCAACTAATGCACCTTGGAAACATTTAGTCTTGTGCCTCCGCCATAGCAGATTTCTCTTCATGCGGGTCAGGTTTTCCTAACTAAAGTGCCCCAAGCACATTCAGTCTTGTGCTTTTGCTATGGTGAATTTCTCTTCATGCGGGTCAAATTTTTTTGACTCATGCATCTTGGGCACATTTGATCTTATACTTTCACTGTGACGAATTTCTCTTCATATGAGTCAGGTTTTCCTGACTCACACACCTTGGGCACATTTTATCTTGTACCTCTTGTCACAGACTTAGCTGGTTTTACCAAAGTCGTGTGGCACCCTTGCGTGTCTGTCCGCAAAGGTCAATCTCTCTGAAACCTCATGTTGTCTCTTAGGACCTACAAAAGAGAAAATGGGTTAGAGAAAGTGCCTCACTTGGGATCTATAAGCAATCATTTCAGGAAACACTTCATAACCAATGCAAATTACAAAAAGACTTCATAAGCTCTGATTGGTCATACAACAAAGGATCTAAAATGGTTTACTATAGACTGAAATCTCTCACAAGTGTCTACATGACACAACCTTTATTTATAAGCCTAAAATGACCGCTAAACCCAACTAAATTGGAGTTGTTAAGTATTCGATCGTCCCTCTACATATTGTGCAAAGCATGAACAAACCATAAGACATAGATATACATAAGCATTATATTAAACACCATGTTTACAATTTTGTCCATGACATTCTCCCCCACTTATTCCTTCGACGTCTTCGTCGAAGCCTTTGCTGACATTGCAACTCCTTGTCTTTGTTGAGTCTTCAATCATCTGCTTTAGTTGTAATGTGCCTCTTGGCTCCTAGCTGCTCTCTACTATTGTTATTAAGTAGTCGAACTTTTGATCTGACATGCTGCTTCAACTCGCTAATGACTCTGACTCTAGTGTGGGGTTGGCTGAGTTGTGTTGATCCATGTTGGTTCCTACGGATCCTTTGGATAAAGGAAAAGACCATCCTTACTATGTGCTAGTCTCTCAAATACTTCATGCTGCTTCAATTGGGTGGATACTTATTGGAGTTTTAACGAGCATCGCCTCGTAAACTTTTGAAGTTTTTGGGTCATTCCTCTACAAAATTTACCCATCGACTCTTCTTTCACTTAGTTATCACTTCCAAGTAGGTTCGCATCACTTCCGCTTTCGATTAACATTCTGTCTGAAAATGAAGCGGATAATCTACTCTCAGTAGCACTGATAACAATTGGTGAGGATTTGACAACTATTGTCTTTCATTTAGTTTCTTAGAAAGATCTTTGAACATGTGCAAAGCTCCTCTGCTGGATAGATAAATGAATTGGGGTACTCGATTTCGCCTATTCTCTTAAAAGTTAAAAAGGTAAAGGTTACTTGACTTCGCCTACCTAATCGAGGGTTGTACTTTATGTATCGAGCTGGTTATTGACCTTCGCTTGCTCTTTGCTCACACTTTTGAAGCACTCGAAGTGTTTGCACTCTTTGCGTTGAGTTAGCTATTATGATTCACCTTCTCAATGCCATCGAACTTCTGGAATGCTCCTGAAAAAGAGGAAGATAGATTCCGTCGTTAGAAATTGATGTTTTTCCTGTAATCATGGTTGACAAGGGTGAAAGATCGTTTCCATATTATTTATAGGGTCTTTTACCCTCGTTATTGTCTAGGTGGAAGTGGGTCCCTGGATGAGTTAGCAGGTCAAAGCTAATATCACTATTCGGAATGGGCTCTTCTATAATTAAAGTAACAAACTAATTAGATTATTTGTGAGATCAAGATATAGTGAATTCCGTACGATGCCTCGGTCATGAAAAACATGAGGCACCAATCACAAGCATAAACATCGTTGTATCACATCGAGTTCAGATTGTGATTGTGATCAGACATACGACATCGATCAGAAGACGAAGGAATAACTGGTTGACTGACTAGAACTGACGCCGAGGTGTCGATCACCTCATCCAGCTCCTAACAAAAGTCAACCTTAGTAGAGCCATCGGAAACTGGGTATCAGAAATCCGGTAAAAACTATATCTGGTGTGCCCGATACGTCCAAAGAGTACCATTTGAACGTTTCGTTTTGTACAGGTTCATGCCGTCCACCACACTGTACGTTACTGTACAAGGATGACGTTTTAACTCATTTATTGAACTTGCTCAGATGTTCCATGAGGAAGAAGATAACTTTCATCAACTCCCGCAAAAGTCAAAGCCCACCATCATTGTTTCCTCTCCCCACGACAACTGATGAGGCCCACTCCATGATCATCTCTAGTCAACGTTCACAAGATAAGACAAATAAATACGCCATGTTTAAACATCCTCTGTGTCACTCTGTTCATAACTCTCGACGACGACCAAGGAGCGAATCGTCCCCCATGAAGTAGACCGGGGAAGAAGGTGGGCTAACAGGAACTTGGTCAAAATGCCGCCGGGCTCATCACCACCCCACATTGGTCCCACTCCTATTCAGCGGGATCTCTCAACGCCAACCAAACAACAACACGGCATTAAGCCGCAATTCCCACGCGCAAGCAGCCATTAAAAGCCCGACCTTCCCGCGCCCACTCTCCCCACCAAGTCCTCTCCCCGTGTCAGCACGAGGCATGACGCTGCGGCTCCTCCTCCCACCGCTGCCCGCTATCCCCCCGGTCGCCGTCCCGCGGGAGGTCCGGCGGATGGTGAGGCTGACGTACCTGACTGCGCTCACCACGTTCTTCGGCTACATCCTCCTCATCGCCTTCGGTGTCCTCCGAGACCTCGTCCGCAAGCTCCTCGACTGGTTTAAATCCGACGACCTCAAGGTGGCGCTTCCAACATCCATCGTCATCGAGAGTCAGAGGCGTTGGCTTCGTTTCATCTGCACTTCGTGGTCCGAAATGCAATAACGGATTCGGGTTTGATTTGTTCACAGGGTTACGCTCCGATATGCCCACCATTTGAGGATTTCTACACCCGCCGAATCTATCACCGTATTCAGGTTTGTCTCCCGTCGTCCGTTGGTTTCATTATTTGCTTAAACGGGTCGGATATAAATCCTTACCCGATAAGACTAATAAGAACCCAATCCGGTCGGATATAAATGGAGCTTTGAACCTTGGGTTGTTGAATGAGCATTGTGGCAGAAGAGTATACATGTGGATGATTCATGTACATATTTGATAGGACTGCTTTGGTCGACCAATCGCAAGTGCAGCAGATGCTTGGATCGATGTGGTCGAGCGGCATTCAAATGACAACGACAAGACTCTCCGGTAGGTTGATGTGATTTCTGTGGAGAACAAAGAGAACTCTTGTTTGGTCTATGGAGATGGCTGCAAGCCTTCGTCTGTAACACTCGTGGCCAACAACAGCACTGATCTCGTCTTCCTCTCACCCATGCAGCCGGACCTCGACCACCTCGAGATGCCTCAACCTTGGATCATACAACTACCTTGGTTTTGCAGCAGGAGATCGATACTGCACTCCTCGTGTCGTCGAGTCTCTTAAGAAATATGCATCTGGCACTTGCAGTGCTCGGGCCGACGCAGGTACGAGAAGTCTGCTACTTTTGCTGCAGAAAGATATGGTTTTGCTTCAAGGGTTTAGGGAGTTCTGCTTGCCACGGCTATGCAGGCACCACTAAGTTGCATATCGAGCTCGAGGAACTGGTCGCGAGATTTGTCGGAAAGCCAGCGGCCATCACTTTTGGCATGGGATATGTGACCAACTCTTCCATAATTCCTGCTCTAGTTGGAGAGGTCTGCACAATATATATATATATATATATGCTCGGATTCAGCATGCACGGAAGAGTTTAGATAGTTATGTGAGTTCTCTTCTCATGCTTCTGAACAGGAAGGACTCATCGTTAGTGATTCCTTCAACCATAACTCGATCATCAATGGTGCTCGAGCTTCCGGTGCAACGGTGCAGGTTTTCCGACACAACAGTGAGTACTGCGACACTCAAGCATGAGATACTGCTGAATTCTGCAGCATTAAACTCCCCTGTGGTGACAGGTCCATCGCACTTGGAAGAGGTGCTGAGAGAGCAGATCGTCAAGGGTCAGCCTGGCACGCACACACCATGGAAGAAGATACTTGTCATTGTTGAGGGGATATATAGCATGGAAGGCGAGTTCTGTAAGCTACCTGAGATAGTAGCCATCTGCAAGAAGTACAAGGTTTAGCAACACTCCTCGACACTGAGATCCTCCTACTCATGGCGTACGTTCTCCTGACCACAGTAACATGATCTTTCTGGATCAGGCGTACGTATACTTGGATGAGGCTCATAGCATCGGAGCGGTGGGCAAATCTGGCAGAGGCGTTTGTGAGCTGCTTGGGGTGGATCCGGCTGACGTTGACATCATGATGGGAACTTTCACCAAGTCTTTTGGATCCTGTGGAGGCTACATTGCAGCATCAGAGGTAATACATACTTCTTTGATCATTGGATGGATTCGAGTTGTCTTTCCACTTGACCCGAATCCATTCCTCAGGAGATCATCCAACACCTGAAGCACGGTTGCCCTGCTCATCTCTACGCGACTTCCATGTCGCCACCTGCTGTTCAACAAGCCATATCTGCAATCAAGGTTGTTCTCGGAGAAGACGGATCAAACCGAGGTAAGAGCGCTCGCTTGATGCCTGGGATGATGATGATGCCATGCACCTAACTACGACTTGCTGGATCGAACCAGGAGCTAAGAAACTTGCGCGGATCCGCGAGAGCAGCAACTACTTCCGGTCGGAGCTCAAGAAGATGGGCTTTGTGGTGCTTGGAGACAACGACTCGCCGGTCATGGCGATTATGCTCTACAATCTGGCGAAGCTCCCCGCCTTCTCTCGGGCGTGCTTGAGGCAGAACGTGAGTGCGTGGTCAGCAACCGTGCCGTCCTGCTTCCATGCTCATGTGTGGTAGCTTGCATCGATGTGTTGCAGGTCGCGGTGGTGATCGTGGGGTATCCGGCGACGCCAGTTCTCCTGGCCAGGGCAAGGATCTGCATCTCTGCTTCGCACACCAGAGAAGACCTGATCAAAGGCTTGAAGGTAGAGGCCCAATTTGTGACAGCCACTGTTAAGTTCACTGACGCTGTTGATGTCTGTCCTCTTTAACTACGTGGGAACAAGTTTTGCAGGTCATCGGCGAAGTTGGTGGCCTTGTGGGGGCGAAATGCCTCCCTGCCGAACCAGAGAAGGCAAAGAAGATGGACTGAGAGGATCAGTAGAGAGGAGGAAGAAGAAGAACCTAGCTATGACCTCCATGTCTAGTTCTATCAATCGTTTGTTTGGCATGCAAAGCCTTGTTGATATTATCATCAGAATTGCAATTTCTTCCTCCCTGCCTTGTGTTCATATAATTGTTTGCAATCTTTATATCCACAATCTGTATGAATAATTGGGGATTCTTTTGATGGTATCCATCAATTGGATGAGATGAGTGGGAAATAAGAAAATATAAAGGACAATAGAAAAGAAGCTTCATTAAAACCAAGAAGAAGATATTTATGGCTTTGATTTGACTCCTGAGATTATCCTGAATAATAATATGCATGTAGTCAACTCAGCTGTCATTGTTAAGTAATCAGTCCTGATATTTAATTTTTTAAATGTCCATTTGGCTTATTCTTATCTCCAACTTAAAGCAAATACAAAGGTCAAAATTTTAATATATATATTTTAAATTATAATAAGTATTATAATATTTTTTCATAAAAATTCTTATAAAATTTTATATTTTAAATATAATTTTATCATGACACTCTTATCCACTTTTGGAAAAAGTAGATAAGAGTTATTAATTTGATTATAAATTTTTTTTAGTATGTATTTATAATAAATAATTAAATATTAATTGACTTAACTAATTATGAAGACATATATTAGATTTTATCTAATACTTAAATATCAATTGTCGTAGAAATCAATGGAGCGCATTATTGCTTTCTATACCCAAATGTCATTATACTATACTTCGAACATCTTAACGTACAATACCTCCTCAATCATGTTAAAGAGGTGAGAATCGGATATCTATCTAGAACTGTTCTCTATCAATTCTTTTGCTTAGCTCACAAAGGAATTTGAGCTTCATTTCTTGGGGAACGTGCGCTCGAAACCATCAACGAAAATGCTTTTTGAACTTGGGCAAGAAGAGGAAGAAACACTCTCGATCTTCATTACTCATTTCACTAACGAAAACCCAACTCACATGAAAAAAAACTATCACGACGGATGCATATGACAAAATGTGTTTGAGACACATGAGTCGAGAAAACTCAACATGCATCAGAAAAAATATGTTATGACCGGAGTCATAGGATAAAATATATTTGAGATGAGTTGGGAAAACCCGACCCATAAGATAAGAAATCTACCGCGGTAGAGATACAAAGGCAAAATATGCCCGTGACATATGAGTTGAGAAAACTCGACCCACATAAAAAGAAATGCATCATGATAGAAGAACATAGAAGAATATGTCTGAAATACGTAAATCGAAAAAACCTGACCCACGTAAAAAAAATCCATCATGACGAAAGTAAATATGTCTGAGGTACGTGAGTCAGAAAAACTTGACCCGCATAAGGAGAAATCTATCATGGCGAAGGCACATGACAAATTTTGTCCGAGAAGCATGAGTCGAGAAAACCTTATCCATGTAAAATAATATATCATAATAGAGGCATAAAGCAACATTTTTTTGAGACATATGAGTTAGAAAAATCTGACCCATATGAAAATAAATTCGCTATGATGGAGGTGTAAGACAAAATGTGCCTGACTGTGAGTTAGAAAAATCTGATCCATGGGAGAAGACCTCAAATACTCTCGTGTCGAATAAATCAAATCTCACACTTCAAACTCCTCTCTCGTAAGAACCCTAAAGCACGCTTTCGGAGGGAGGAGAGGAACAAATGATAGGGAATATACTATCAACTAATCATCATCGAACACATAATCATCACATGAACAAGAGTGCAAAGTAACATTCCATGAAATATTCCTTAAAAAAAATTTAAGAAATATTTTAAGTATTATTTAAATTAGAGATATTATTCGAAAAAAAGCACCTTTGAAAAATATCTAATATATAAATATTTTACAGAAAAATCTTCCTAAGAAAATCATCCATCCTCAACTACACTTGACTATTTATTTCTCCTTAAAATCATTAGTATTACTAACTTTTATGAGCAAGAAAAATGAAAACAATTAATAATAAAAACTGTTTAAGGAACTTCGTTCGGTTCAAGTTTTACTTGATACGAACCAAATTCAACCAAACCGCAATCAATATGCCTCACCATAAGCCCTACGTCAATTAAGCCCAATAACTTTATGGCGTAATTGGGCCGGTCTAGAGGCCCATTACATGAAGGAGTCGCCTTTGTAATCTCGCTTGGTTTCCAAGGCCATAAAGCAACATGAGACACGGAGGGGCATCGTGCCCGGGATCCATCCGCTTGGTCGCTTCCGTGCTCGATCTTTCTCCACAGGTAACAGCCGCGCTGCTCTTTAATTCCTTCTCTTTGATTCGTTTCCTTCTGCATAGATCTTGCTTTGATATTCTTTCTTCTCCCCGTTTCGTGGATTTCTCGTTGCTTGTCTTTAACCTATATTTAGGGCTTCTGGATCTCTTGATGCGCGAGCTTTTTTGCTATGGAAACCTTAGTTACCTTGAATTCGAATCGAAAACTGTTATAAAAGTTCAGGCTTTTACAACTCTATATCGCTTATTGTCGCTGATCTCTGTACCCAACACGGTTATGTCTGATTGCTTCTTCACCGTCTTAATTCAAGACATGAACGTTAGCAAAACAACTTCTTTTCAGGAGGCAAGTAAAGATTTTAACTAAGATCCATGTAATTGCTAATGCAACTGTATGTTATCTGTATGCCAATGGGTTCTTTGACGAATTATTTGATGTTTTGATGATAATTTGTCAATATATTTTCTTTGCATCTGGGTTAGATCTAACATTTTCAATTGGCTGTTTAGTATTCATATCCATTATGGTCTTGGGGCATTTTTGTGCTGCTAACTATGTGTTGCTAGGTCATAAATAACACAAAAGTATTTGGATGCAGAGTTTTTGGGTGAGTATAAGTTCCTAGTTTGGAATTGAAGCAATGCCTTCCCAGAAGATAGAGACAGGTCACCAGGATGTTGTTCATGATGTATCGATGGACTACTACGGCAAGCGCCTGGCCACGGCTTCTTCTGATGCGGCTATTAAGATCATCGGGGTCAGTGGTTCTTCGCACCAGCATCTTGCAACATTGACCGGCCACCAAGGTCCAGTGTGGCAGGTCACTTGGGCCCACCCCAAGTTCGGATCCATGCTGGCCTCTTGCAGCTATGATGGTAGGGTGATCATCTGGAAAGAAGGGAGCAAGCCTGACGAGTGGTCTCAGGCTCATGTTTTCACCGAGCACAAATCCTCTGTCAATTCAATCGCATGGGCGCCATACGAGCTTGGCCTCCGCTTGGCAAGTGGTTCCTCGGATGGGAATATATCGGTCTTCACGGCTCGAACGGATGGTGGCTGGGATACCACTAGAATCGACCAGGCACACCCAGTCGGTGTGACTTCGGTGTCCTGGGCCCCAGCTTTGGCCCCTGGTGCACTTGTTGGTTCAGGCCAGTTTTATCCTGTCGAAAAGCTCGTCTCTGGTGGCTGTGATAACACGGTTAAAGTGTGGAAGCTTTACAATGGTATATGGAAGATGGATTGTTTTCCTGCACTTCAAATGCATGCTGATTGGGTGAGAGATGTGGCTTGGGCACCGAATCTCGGGCTCCCTAAATCTACCATTGCAAGTGCTTCGCAGGATGGCACCGTAGTCATATGGACCGTGGCAAAGGAAGGTGAACAGTGGGAGGGTAAAGTTCTGAATGATTTTCACAATCCTGTGTGGAGGGTTTCTTGGTCACTTACGGGGAGTATATTGGCTGTGGCTGACGGGAACAACAATGTCACCTTGTGGAAAGAAGCAGTAGATGGGGAGTGGCAGCAGGTGATGACGGTTGAGCCTTAGATGTTTATATTTCTGGTTCATCAGATAGCCTGCAATCACATTTTGAGTAATAAACTAGTCTCTTTATCCCTCCTTTATTCGTAGGAAGGTAAGATTGTTGTTCTAATTATGCAATGATTTTCCTTCGTACTGAAAAACATTTCTTATCATGGCTATGTCTTAGTGAGATAATTGGAAGATGTTCTTTATGAGCTATTACAACGTGCTTCTTTTACAATTTTCACATATATGGTATGTGTTTCTTTAATCCTTGTTGGTATCCAATGACATGTTTACATGTGGTATTGATGAGACATGATGTTTGTTGGTTAAGATTGCTCCACCACTGGCACTGTAGCTACCATCTCAACCAATTTGGTTGTCACCTAAATTCCATCCTGTTCTTTGGGTTGCCGGATTTTGTGATGGACCTTTATCAAGTTTCTTAATAGATATGATAGCTTCAGGTCTTGGTTGTCTGGTCAATTTGGTTCTATTTCTTTGGTATTTGAAAGAACAATTAAATTGTAGGGGACAATAATGAAGAATGGTGACTCAAAGAAGGTCTACAAGGCATTACAGAAACGCAATTGCTGCAATGTGATAGAATTACCAGAAGATCTACAAGAGTCAACACCCCTTGAAAGTATGTTTAAGTGGATAATTTGGTTGAAACCCTTTGATTTTGTTCTTATTTCTCTTGCCCTGTCCTTTGACTCCTTATCTTTCATTTTTGGAACTATGTTGAAAACATTCTTTATCCAAAGAATTCCTCCTGAATCATTAAGTTTGTAGTCCGGTGATGGAATGGTATTCAAAATTTGTGACGTTTATTCATAATCAAGTTTGACATTATTGTCATCCATTAAATATATGCCAAAGTTAGTGATCAGTTGATGTCAGCAACTTCTCTCTATCGAATGCCTGTCATTTTCTGTATCAGTTTCATGGTGTGGTTCGATATGAAAGCTCATCATCTATCTTCTCTCCTTTTCGTTCCTTACCTTCCTTCTTTGCCTCTTGTCTCCTTATCGATCAGTTTCATTAGGGTTATGATAGATACTTGAGTTTGTCTATAGCTTATGTTCGAGAATTGATATATGATTTATTCGAAACCGTCACAGAATGATGCATTATTATTTTCATATCAATGGAGACATGCAGATGTGTGTTTGTGCATACAAAAGTGACAATTTTTTAGGTTCTTAAAGGTTTGTCCATTAATTTAATAGTCATACTTGCTGGTATAAATAATTTCGTAAATATATGATAAACCCTCGTCTGCACGCTGGTATTATACATAATAACACATCGTTTATCACAGTTCGACAAAACGCTTTTGATGTCGCAATTGGTCCAAAAATAGAATAAAATATTGAGCTCTACTGACTTGTTTAATTGCTACAGCCCGGCATTGAATGATCAAGACGCGCCCACGTCGCACCTGTTGTGTTGTGATGTGATGTGGATGCGATGAGACCTCGTCCGCATGCTTCCAAAAGCACCACCACATTAAAAGGCGCGTCAATACCACCAACGAGTACGATCACGACATGCAATCTAAAGTTGTTTAGATTCTGCAGTAATTTTCGTCAGAGGAATGCTATCAAATAGGCAGTCCACTGCGCATGGATGGTGGGGACGGTCAACATGCAGTGAACGTGGACGTGCACAGGATAAGACAGTCACGCTTTCGTGGTCTAGAAGCGAAGGCCTTTTGACCTTGGTGCCAAGTCCCACGTGTAATGGGCCCCGCCAACGCCACCGACCGGGGACCACTCGGTTGTCCCTACCCGGCGAACGAGGGCTGAGTACACGTCGGCGATCCGATTCCGCGTGCCCAGAGACGCGTCCCACCACTACATGTGACCGTTTGTCGCGCCGTTTAACACTGTTTCCCGTGTCCTCTTTCTTCTCACTAAGCGCGATAACGATGCGAATATTCCGTGATACAATTAACGGCGGCGTGACCTGGGTGACGTCATCGTTTCCCTGGCAGGGCCAACAGCTCCCCTCACTGCGCTTAAACTCACCGCGGGCTGTACGTTTTCCCCTGGGTTAAGATCTGCTGCCATCATCTCGATATAAACTCCCATCGCGCCGCCCCCTTCGGTGCGAAGAGGTTCGGATTCGAGGTTAGATTCAGAATTCTAGCTTTGATTCTTTTCGTTCTGATCACGGTTCTAATTCTTGGGTTTTGGTGATAACAACAAGTTCGTTCCTTCTGAGGGACTTCGTCCTTTTCCTCGCCTTTGGAATCACCTTGATGAGAATTGCTTTGTTCTTTTTGCGATTTTGAGAAGGCGCTGAATTGTTCGGAACCCCACCGATGGTTTGTCTCGCACTCTGTTGGGGCACTCGTTTCAATCGTGGGAGTGAATTTTGGATATAAGGAAATTCTTTGTTGGTTTTGGCAGATTTGGGTGTTTTTGCTCGTAATTTAGTTCATCTTTGCTATGTTTGTGTATGTAAGCATTCTGATTCATATCTTTGGACTAAGGCTTGGTTTTTCTTCGGTATATGTATGCTTTCAGTGGTGATGCTGTCATATCTTGCATAAATTTTGACTGATGAGTGCTACCATAAAGATCTTCAGTTCATATTCACCTTACATTTCCGAATTTAGTGTTTTTTCGTTTCCTGTGTTTTTTTTTTCTATTAACCTCAAATTTCAGATCCGGTGTGCCAGCATAAAAATATCTTCAGTTCATATTCACCTTACCTTTCCAATTTTACTGTTTGTAGGCGTTCTTTCTCTATAGATTTCAAATTTCCGGATTTGGTTCTGCCCTCTGGTTTTATTGGTATGCATGGATTCTTTAGCCTGTTTGGCTAGCAAACAGATAGTCTGACTTGTGATGTAGTTGTTTATGGAAATTCGATCTTTGCTTGACAAGCGAGGCTAGTTTGTTACAATCCGTCCTTGCTGTCTTCTCCATTTGTTGCACTTGTTGTTATCTTATGCAAAGATTTGTTGTGCTTATTTTCACCTTTAGGTTTAGTCGAGCTTATCAATTCAGGGTCTGTATATATATATATCAATTCAGGATTGACATGTGCCCTTCTGCAATTGAGTCTGTGCCAGTTGGCATTGACATTCATTCACCTGATGAAGAACTTGTACTGTTCTTGGATCAAAGGAAACCTGGGGATGCCACTCCAGACAATGTTGTCACTGAAGTGAATCCTTTCAACGTTGAACCATGGAATTCTCCTGGTTAGTTTTGGTTCATATTCCAGTTGCCCGTTATATATTCTTGTCATAATGGCTTTCAAAATTAAGGTATCATAATGTAAAATATTGATTTGTGAAGTCCAGTCTTTCTTGCAGTAATGTGGTTGTTAGTAAAATTGTGAACCATCTTCTAGGACTAATTGGTGTTGATTGGTTTCAACTTTGAATGATTTTAGCTCGTTACAAGTCATGGTATCTTTATAAGGGAATACAATAGTTTTAGACTTTTAGTAGCCGTATATCATGACCGATGATGATTGTGCAGAGCTTTTCTGATAGCAAAATGTTGTTAACCTCAGTTATCATATATCCTCTGTAATATAACTAAAAGAGTTTGTTCAGTAATCGTAACTGGGTTTACTTGTTGTGCTTACTATTTTTATAAGTTATGCTTACTATTTGTTTTATGCTCATTAGATCTTAGTACTCAGAAATTTATTACGATGACGTTAGTTTTAGATTTTCCGGATGGAGGATTACCATTCTTAATTAATTGTGGTATTAATTATCTTTATTTAGTAGGAAGACATGGATGCTCATTTCTAGAAATGAACAGCAACATTTAATAATTAAATCCATTTTTGTTGCTTCTATGTTTTTCCTTTCTTCTGTGAGCTGTTGGTTTAGACAGAATGATGCTGCTCAGATCTAAAAATGAATTAGTTTCTATGGTTAATTTGGTGTATTCTGTTGTTCATTTGGCTATATCCTTTAACAAATTCAACGCCCAGTAGGTCACAAATGTTTAACATGAAACTGAAAGAATGAATCAGGGTCCTAGTTATCTATGATATATTTTCCACTGTATCCATACAAAGAAACTAAATATATGAATTAATTGTACAACAATAGTGCATACTTATCACAGATAGGTCATGTGACATGCATCTTGAGAGCTGGAGCAAACTGCTATGAAAATACAAAACGAGGATGACTTTAATCATAAGGCAAATTTTGGATGGGAATTTAATATGTTGTCATCAATTTGCACACCTTAGGCTAAGGTGCCAATCACATGGATCCTTGACAGTTGAAACTTTCAAGAGCCCCTGACAAATGCATTGATATTTGTTAAAGAGGGAACAACTGTATGTGAAATTATGTTATCCAATTAAAATAATTAATAAGGGAAGCACTGAATTTAACAAGCATTCATCTAATTACTGTTGTTTGTGCTGCAAGTTGAGTAAGCTGTGACTGAGTGAGATCAGCTTCTCCAACATCAATTCCACCCTGTTTTTTCTTTTTTCAATTTGCGTTTACTAGAAAGCTTTGAGTAAGGAGCTGACATGGTCAAGATGTTATGCAGAAAACATTTGGTATCTGTACCATTCAGGGGCCCTGAGATCTCCTAATGGGAACTCTGAAATGAAAGTAACAAGATCTGGATATTGGAAGCCAACAAATGATCTTAAAATTTATACAAGTACCTGCGCTATTGGTAGAAAAATGACCCTGGAATTTTATAGTGGCAAAGAACCTTTTGGAGAAAGAACTGGGTGGGTGATGTATGAGTATCAGGCGGAACAGCATATGTCAAATGGATATAATTCCTCAAAGGTACTCAATTAAGTCTTAATCCTTATTTCTTATATCTCTTGACAAATAGTTAATCTATTGAACCTCATTAATAGAATTTGCTATTTCACATGATTTTACAGAAGAACTATGGTTCCTTGTGTAGAGTCTTTCAGCAAACTGATAGAAGGACAAATCAAGAAGAAAATTTTTTTTCTGCTAGTGCAGGTGATTCTGGTGGTGAGTACATAGAACGAATATTGTTGACCCTTCTAGAGAAAGAAGAGGGCAACTCATCCTCGAGGATTTCAGCCAACAATTCCCAGGTATTGGTTATATCTTTCCTTTAACTGTGGTTCCTTTCTCAGCAACAAGAGCTATTAAGTGCCTTGTGCTCTTAATATGTTACTGACAACAAGAGCTGTTAATGTTGTAGCGAAAATAACTTTAGCGGATCTATCTATATTACAATGCTAAGATCTTTTCTTTTTGACTTCACTCTAGTGCTTACTGAGTTTGACATACTCTAATATAGACTGTCGCTGAGAAAGGTCAGGAGCAATCAGCGTTATCCAGCAGGAGGCCTGATGAGCCTTTACCTGAGAATTCTAATGAGAACATGTTTGGAACTTGTGATTTTTCAAATGGAGAATTCTTGGAGATAAATGATCTATATTGTCCGGAGATACCTTCAGCTAGTTCAGATAATTCTAGCCTCATGTCAGTAAATTCTGATGAATTCTTTGATACTGATGCATTATTGAGGGATATTGAGACTGACCATGGTCTTGGAGTAGAAGAAGAGCTTACGTATCACAGGTTCAGTATCTCTGTACCTACAGAATCAAGTCAGGTGGTTATCAGGCCTTCCCCACCAGGTATATCAATTCTGGTCCCCTTCCATTGTAGTAAGTATTTCTGATAAACTATGCATTTTTAAATAAGATTTTTGTTACTCAAATAACTCGCAATTGATTTCATGGTCCTGTACGCGAACTTGTATTTCAATGTATTTAGATCCTTCAATGTATTTAGTGAGATTTTAGGCAATAATATGTGTTTCACTGCTCACTAGTCTTCTATCATATGCTATCTTACAACCAAGAGGATAAAACCACTCCTGGTTATATTTTTATTTTCTAGCATGATTGGGATAATGACCTCACTGTTACTTCTTTATTAATATGTTTTTAATTTATCGATTTTCAATAACATGCTTTTGCAGGGTTGTTATCCATGATTATCATCTAAAGTCATCAGTCTCAGAAATTATTAGCTACTAATATTGTTCATAAACAAACAACAAAAGAAAGAGACATTTCCCTACATCCAGGTCTTAGCAATCAATTGTTATTAAATTATAAAACAGAGACTACAGTAGGATAGCAGCTGGTAAACTTGATCTCTCTCAAGTTGTCCACTCCAATTCCATAATATTCCCTTGAAGTTATCTTTTTTTTTTTTTCTATATGTTATGTTTTCATTTTATTGAATTCTGGGTTATCATCCCTTCATTTTATGTCTAAAATTATCCGTTGTTTTATCACCCAATTTTGGATATCTTAATGTTATTTTTTGCAGCTATCAGTCTGTATTCTTGTACACAGGTTCAATTAATAGAACTGCTGATCTTGTGATTGAAGATAGCAATCCAGCAAGTTGGTTGATTAGAAATGGAGTGACTTCACACCCAGAACATTCCTCATCAACTGATGAGTTGTGGCACGATGGAAAGGCTTCTACAACTAGTAAATCTCAGGGCAGTCAGGACAACCGAATTGCCGATACCACACATAGACGCAGGACTTTAAAGGGGAATGGATTAAAATCAGTCCGAAAGATTGCAAAGATAGGAAGAAAATACTGTTGCTTCGGATCATTTTGATATAACCTGCCTCGTCATACTGGTTAGAGAGGAGATAGGAGTATGGTCTTGGGTTTCAAAACCCAGAAAGAAACTTCTTGGTAATGCAAGTGTTTGATGTTTTAGCTGGAAGCCAACACAAGGAGTTGTAGAGAAGATTGGGAACTTAAAACACCCATCTTGAAGTCAACTGGCAAATCTAAATTGCAGATTTCAAAGTGCTACTGCCTGATGTATTTAGGTTCCTAGGGTTTATTTTATTTGTTTCACGGAAGTCTCATACATGTGGTTGGAGTATATGCATCTTGGAATTCTCAACACATTTACCTGTAAGGCAGCAAATAACACAGTTTTGTACATTTTGTTGATATAACGTGGTTTCTTTTATCTTAAACAATTGCATTGTTCAATCAATAATTGCATATATACACATTGATTTCATCTGATTGTGGTGATTATTTTTTGGCAGATGTTATTATCTTCAAATCATTCATTTGCTAATGAACGCAGAACATTATATATATATATATATATATATATATATATATATATATATATATATATATATATATATATATAT